CTTCAGTCATTGAGCACAGATTAATGAAACATTTCATTATATTATAATTATTATAAGTAGCAATAAACAAATGTTTATTTAATGATTATCTAGCTTATAAGTTAGGAAATCATTCCTTGATTTAGCAACTAATTGTCATGTTCTGTGTCCCCTTGGTCCCCAGCCCCCTCCTGTTTGTCCTCTGTGTTCTCCTCATGTTCCTCCTGGTGTTTTCCAGCTTCGCAGGTCTCTCCAGTCACCCCTCTGTAGTTTTATTTTCTATAGGTTCAGCTTTTCATTATGTTAGTTCCCTTTAGTGTTTGTGTCCTTCCCCACTTGTTTATTAGTCTTCCTTACTCCTCTTGTCATTAGTTGTTTATCTTTGCCCTTAGTTTCTAGGTTTAGTTATTTAGGCCTAGTCCACACGAAGCCGTTTTTTTTAAACGAATATCCACCCCTCCAAAAACTTGCATCCACACCACCTCGTTTTAAAAGAAAACTCTGTCCACACGTACCCGGATAAATACGTTGTTAAGGACATGCCAGACCTGTAGGTGGCAGTACTTCCCCCGTTCTTAACCTCATCCTTCGTCTGCGGTCTTCCGCAAGGAGCAGTAATTCCGCTTGCAAAAGCAAACAAGCAAAAAGCGCTTGGACAATTGATAAAGTGAGTGCAGCTCTGAGGGCATCCATGCTGTCGGCTAGTGTAAACACAGGTCGCACACGTGATGTCAGCATTTTTTGTCGTGGAAAGTGACGTTGCGGACCTTAAAACTCCGGTTTTGTCTGTCCACATGCAGACACCCAAAACGAAGAAAACGCAGATTTTCACTTTGGCCAGCACAGCCTCCTTAAAATAAAGGAATTTATTTTCTTTAAACACTCCTGCCTAGAGTCGTTCTGGGGATTCTGCATCTTGGGTCCAAACCACCTACACTCAACGTGACACTAATCTGGGCTGCGAGTGTTCCTTATATGGAGGCATGAAGAATCCTGAAAGATTGGACCTTGAGGAGAGAACATTATTGTTGACATTTCATTATCCGTGTTCAGAGCTGCAGGCTCTGAGCTCCGGCTGGTGGGATGGAGGCAGGCTGATTTAAAGGGGACACATGCAGTCTTGTGTCTCCTTTTTGACCAGATGTTGAACGGTCAAACTGTACCTAAAAACTGACCATTGCTGGACGTTACAAGTGAATGAGAAAAAACAAGCCTTCAAATGGCCTGTTTTCCACCCCAATCCGCCTGTTTACCTCCTGCTCCTGTCTCCTCCACCTGCTGAAGGACCTCTCCTCTTATTCCTGGGTGGTAGTCCACCCATTCCTGGTAGAGAACCATGTCCTTGGATTTAAATATGCTGAATCTCATCACTGCAGCATCCAACTTCAGCAAAAGCTGAAGGGTGATGAAGCTGGTAGAACCACATCATCCTCAGCAAGCAGAGAACTACCCTCCACCCTATGGCAGTGCCAACCAGTTCTGTCCCTAAGGAGGAGCCAAGCTTTCTCTTTAATGGACCTGATTTTACTTCATATCTCAAACTAGTATTTTACATTTGTTTGGTTCTGGAACATAATCCAACTATTATTGTTATCATCAACTATAGGCTTTGTGATAAAATTATTTAATCAATTTGGATCCCTTCAAATATGTTTCTACACATAAATAAACATGTCTGCAAGTTGTTTCAATACTTCACATTTAGCTTTGTGAAATGTCTTTTTGTTAATAACTTATGTTCAATTTCATCACAGTACATTTTAGAATGGTTTTTAAAAGTTATTATTTAGCATAATTCTGTTAAGGTGGGAGATCCAACTTTGCATGTTTACTTTAGTTTTAACCATTTCAACTGTAACAAGTCCATTTTGTTTGTTTTTTGGTGCATGAAATGCCATCCAAGGATTGGAATTTGTACAAATGAAGCAGGATGTGTCATAACCTGCAATTAATCCACAATGATTATGTAGAAAATTCCTTTTTTCACAGTATTCATGTGCAAAATATGTTTTTTCTTTGTACAAATATCTATGAGTCACAACATCTACTGTTGATGTATAAAGGCCAGAAGTCTGACTGGCACCTGCTGTGCTGCTTTTAATAATCCCAATGTGATGTCAGCAGTAACACACACCCACACCCACACACACACACACACACACACACACACACACACACACACACACACACACACACACACACACACACACACACACACACACACACATGGTGTGTATGCCAGTAAACATAAACTGGTGATGTGGGCGGGCTTGTACTATCTAAGGCATCTGCCCTGCTGGTTGTGCTGCCAGTCTGCATGGGCAGTGATGCCATCCGATACCATTTGACACCACAACCAGCTGTCATCCGGCCGCAGTAATACTCCAGCAATTACAGAAATGCAACATCAGCAGCTTTGCATGAGTTAAATTAGCAAAGTTTTAAAGTAATAAATTATCTTTAAAATCACTGCAATCAAATGTCATTCCACCAAAAAAGAAAGAAAAGACATTAACACAAATGTCCCCATCCTCTGAAACCCTCCAGTAATGCTTAACTGGTCTAAATTAGAACCAAAGTGGCAAAACATGGATTTAATTTTTAAATGAAACTGAAAATTTGAGTGATGTGCATTACAGAAAGTTAAAAACAAATGATAATGAGTATCAACTCATTTAATCTAGAAATCAAACTGTGAGAAAAGTGACACGAGTCTTGTTTTATAAGATTGTAGTGAAAATGTAAAAAAAAGGTACACTTTAAAAACACAAAACAGCTTGCATGTTTACATAATATATGTAATATGGTAAAGCTTATTTTAAAATGCATTTGTTGATCATTTATTTATTTGAAATTAAATTAAAATACATTCTATCGTTTTTTGAGAAAGCAGTTTTTAATAATAAAGAAATAAATCTGAATATATTTACGGCAAATATTCAAACCAATGGTTTTAAATCTTACAAAAATGTGATTTTACTTTTTAATTTTGGTTCACTTTTATCTGAAAGTTTCCACCTTTCTTCTATCACGTCCTCTGCTGCCACCTGCTGGCCATCCAAGGAAGCTGCTGTAAATAATCACATTTCTTCATTCCATTTCTGTAAACTGAAGCAATTTAACTGAGTCTCTTTCTTCTTGCCAAACCTCTTTTCAGCCTGATTAGTGAGTTCAAAATGAATTTCTGAGCTGCAGGGACCTCTTACATTTAAAACTTAGTCTTGGGTCTTTGCAGTTCATCTGTTACCAGAAGGTGGCGCTCACATGATAAGTATCTGCAAACCAAGGAAATGGGTCGTAAGTTGACACCATGTTCAGTGTTTGAATGTAAAGATATCTCTTTGAATTGGTGAAAAGGTATTTTGTCTTTTACATGGCTGTAAATGCAAAAATAATAATAATAGATTTAAAAAAGACAGACGAGTGATATAAAAGTACATTAATACATATAATGTGACATTTTTAAAAGACACAAAATGTGAGGCATGATGGGATTAATTCCTGTCCTCCCTCTTAGTTTGGGCAGCCTTCCAACAAAACAATTAGGAATTGTGGGAACCAGGGCCCTGCCCCTCCCTCCCTTCTTTTTCTCCTCTCTTCTCTGCAGCTGGACTCAGGAGAGAGGCCAAGTTTATTTTCTCGGCGGTGGTCCCTTTGGGGTGGCGGCGAGGCCCCATGCCATGCTGCTGCTGATGTATTAGGTGAGGGTCCCTGCAGACACTTTTATTACTGAAGCACTCAACCTGATTGCTGAAGATGGTGCAAAGGTAACGAGTCAGAGTCATGCCCACCTGACAACACAGGGGAGCTTTGTTTTTAATGTGAAAAAACAAAATAGATATTTCCAGACTATAATTAGAGCAGTTATATGTGGTTACCACAGAAAATGGAAAAACGATCAATGACTTTATTTAAAAACTGCTTTTTTTTACATTCTTCAAAATAAAAATAAAAAAATGCTAGTTGATGATCCAGTTTTTTAGACTTCTTCCTCTGAAACATTCCAGTGGCTTATCTAGGATTTTTCTGAGTGTGGGGCCATCAAAGGGCCACAGAGGGGCCAACATCCTTACACAAGATTTAATGCTGAAAGTTCCCATTTGGCTCATTTTGGGACGTGTTTGGACTCGGAATTGCCTCCAGTTATATAAGGAGCCTAAGTCACGCCCATCTACTTCCGGACCATGGATCCCAGAAGAACAAAAACAGGAATGCAAGTCAATGGGGCAAAAAAGCTACTTCTTGTCCATGAAATTTAAAGATGCATTTTGAAACCAAGTACGTGTCTATTTTCAAACGGGTGGAAATGCTATTTTAGGATTTGTGTGAAAATATGTCCAGGACTACAAATGCGCTTCATAAAAGTGACGTCATCGAACCAGACACAGGGTGAACATTGCTGTGTGTTTAAAAAATTTCAAATCCATCCGGAGGAATCCTTCAGGAGGAAAGAACCACCATAAATCTGGCCATAAGTAGCAGCTACGCGAGGGGGGAGGATATGGACGTAGTATTTTTTATTTGGGGGGGGGGGGGGGGGGGGGGGGAGTCATGCTAATCACGAACTTTTACAAGCTGATAAATCTCAAAGGTGTGGTCAAACCACACATCATTACTTTTCATTTAAATTGCAGTACAACACATGCTCTATCCAGGAAGTAAGGCTAAGCAGATTAGAAAATAACTCTTTCAGCCCTGTCGACTTGCATTCATGTCATTCTTCCGGGGACCATGAGCCAACCAGAAAGGGAGGAGACTTCCCGATTCTGATCATCTAGCGAAGGACGGATAAGTGACGGGATAGGGCCATTTCAGAGGGCCAATTTCCATGTGGCCCCGCCCCTACTGGTACTTTCCTCCAAAACCTAGTGTTGCGTCCTAGACCGTATTCTTCCCTCTAGTGGAGAACAGAGGTAATGCAGTAGTTTAATTATCATTCTACTCAATAAAACTATTTTAGGATTAAGCAGTAAATTGTTCAAGTTTTTTAAAAACTGAACGAATTTTATGCTTTCATATTTAAATAAAAAAATATGCAAATATTTCTTTAACAGCAGCTCAGATTGTAGGAAACATATTACCACAGCCTCTTAGATTGCATGCATTTAGGTGACATCTATATCCAACGTTTAATAAACTAAAACAATAAAGTGATTTTTTTTAAATGCAATGACTTTTTTCTTGCGTAGATTAATCAAAAGAAAACAATTAAACGTTTTAGTGGTTAGTTAATGAGCAACATTTCAAAGGCAGTAAATGAAACACGTAACCACCCTATAGATAGGACCCTATAGGCGTCCTTCTGAAATATCTTCTTCACATGCCCATAAATAAATTAATATATTAAAATTATATCAAATAAAGGGAACCCTTCTGAGATCTGTTAAGAAGTGTAAATATCAGTTTTTGTGGTAAATAGGTGTTACTGGACATGGCACATTTAAAAATCTTTGTTTATTATTTTTTTACACCTGAAAAAAATAATAAAATGTCAGAACGAATATCACTTTGGAAATATAGTTTCAAACCTCAATGACGTCATAGTTAAACATCTTGACATCTAAGTTTGACCGCCATGTTGACATTCGAGTTTTCTCATAGAGCATTATTTTACACTTAGAGGTTAATTTAATACGTTAATGCAAGTTTCTTTTTTACTTTTCAGATGGTTAATAGAGACATCAGAAAAACAAACATCTGCAGGGATTAGGAACCGTTTTCCAAAGGTTGGTGCAAATGTGAAATTAAACGCATGAATGGTTGTGAAAGATAAGCGGAGCTAAATAAAGGGATTAAATATTCTGTTTTTCTATCTTGTATGCTGCTCTTCTCAAAGACTTACTCTGCGGTCTCTTTCTTTGAGAAACAGCGGAGAGAGGCCGCGTGTCAGGGCGCATAAATAACTGTCGGCCTAACGTAAACACAGCGGTCACAACCCGGGAGAATTAAAACAACTGGCCCTGGTAGGCTGCAGTTCTCGGGGAGCAGGTTTTCCACCACTCTCAATTCATTTAAAACACCCTCTCACCTCACCCTACATCCTCACTTCCCATTGGCTGAACCCACACAGCCCAACCAATCAACTTTAGAGTAAATTGCGTGTGACGCTCAAGAGCCGCGTTAAAACCACGGGCTGAATTTAACGTTTTTATGATTGATGAATACAGTTTAACGTGTTTACAGTAAAATAACTATATTTTAGTGTTTTTATGTGGAATGATTGATTATGTGACATTAAGAACGTTGTTATCTTTAGAAATAACAGAGGCTCTTATCTCCACGAGCGCTTTGTCGGTGCAGGTTCTGCAATTCTGACTGATAACAGGGGATTACTACAGGTCAAGGAAGCGGGCCACACAGGAAAGTTCAAATAAAAACACATTCAGAGGTTTAAATCGGTACAAATATAGATTTATATATATTTTTTTCATGCAATCTGTACAGCAATGTTTGTCCATCCACCATGACGCAGGCCCCAAAAATGCACCTGTAGATTCATTTTTTCCAAAAAGCAGTGATAAAAAATAAACAAAGATTATCTTTGAACCAGCAAAGACAGCAGGTGAAATAAGGCATTTAAATATGTCTTCTGTTACAGGAACGAGAGAGAGAGCGCGCGCTCCCTCTGTTGTTCCCACTCAGCCTGCAGAGATGAGATTTGCATTTCAGTCACAATAAAAAAAAATCGTTTGGAAATCCGTCAGAATTTTTGAAGTCCTTTGGTTTGCATTATGATGCAGTTGTCCCGCACAACCGAGTTGTGTGCATCTCCTTCAGCTCGTTCTCCGGTTTCCCCGCCACCATGAAAGGCCACGTCTGCAGAAGAGAACACACTCAGATAGGGACAATCCTTCATTTTAGCTGTACAATTCACCCATAAATATTACAGTTTCACAAAAATCTAACAAAATGACTTCCTGACAACCCTCTCCGCAGATGTTGTTGATGATGTTCAGACCTGAAACGGATTTTTTTTATAAATAAAATTAATAATCGTTGTTGTTTAACTTTTTATTTACCTTTAATCATTTCATACACTGTTGTCATTTATGATTTTTCACAATATAAATTTAAAAAATAACGACTAAAGATCAAATGCTTTCAAACAGGATATTTTCCATCTTTGTGCACCTGCCTGATCACCGTGAGCATCAATGAGGCCTCTCATGTGGAGTTTAATAGAAAGTTGAACGATATTTATAACAGTTAATTATATTTGGTGTATTTTATTATAAAACAACCATCTGTTTCTGCTTTCCGCGCATGTGACATCATTCGTTTACTTCTGAGAAAACATCTGTTAACATCTGCTAACATCTCACCAGGTTAACGGGGTGAATATATCCGTTCTCGTACTTGTCGTTGGCCAGAATCTGCCGGAGATGCGCGATGTAGCTGGACGCCAGGCGCAGGGTGTCCAGTTTTGACAGTTTGGTGTCCGGTGGTACCCACGGTAACGACGTCTTCAGCCGCGAGAAGGCTTTGGACAGCACGCGCATCCGGGCTCGCTCCCGCGCGTTGGCCGCGTTCCTCTGCACCTGCTTGCCCTCTTGCTGCGCCACACATTTACGCGCGCTTTTGCGGCTCGCCGTTTTCCGCTTCTTGCCGGAGCGCGCGTCTCTTGCGTCCTCGTTTGCGCATGTGCCCTCGCAGTTGGAGGAGCTCTCCTCCGTGCTTTCATTGGAGTCCTTCCCCGAGTAGCCAAACTTGAGGATGCCGTCCAGGAGCTCGTCGTCGACGTCGCTAAGGGAGCCGGTGGACATGGTGTTAAGGCTGGAGCGGATTCAGAACATGGGCGCAAAAGGGTCTGAGCTTTGGCGGAAATGAACAGGCGCGCCAACACGCTCCTGATGTTCATGTACAACCAAGTGGACGTGAAAGGAGGAGAAAGGATCTGAGTTTTAATCTCTATGAGCAGGGAGGGCGTTACCTCATGCTGGGAGGAGACAGCCTGGATCTGACTTGTTGGTTCTCTGAAGGACCCTGCAGGATCTGGGATGAGTCACCAACAAACGCCTGGTTTAGCTTAACCACTACAGATAAAATAAAGTTGGTCAACTATTAAAAACTAGCAAAATTATTTTCATTCCACAAAATAAACAACATTTTAGAGATGGACTAAAGACTTCCCAAAAGATGCTCATTGGGCCTAAAATTGAATCGTGCAAAATGTCAGCATTTAGTTTTCTGCACATTCATCATCATCATGATCATCATGGCTGCTTTAAAGGAAACTCAAAATTTAAATGGTTATGTCAACAACTTATGGAGTCAAACGGATGTCCTCCACAGTTTAGTGACTTGAAGAAACACAAAAAAGGCAAAAATTCACTTTGTTTTATAGATTTTGGGCTATTTCGGTGTTATGCTGACAGATATTCCATTAGTCTGACAGACTGAACATGTTTAATATCTGAATCTCATGAAACACTCGATATATTGTAATAAAACTCCCAGAACTCTGGCTGCTCTACAACTGATTCACCCTAACCAACTTTAAATTCAAGAGGGCTACTGAAGCCAACTGACCTTATAAATACGGTTGAGCATCAAGCACCGATTTAGACTTTTTTCCAGAATCATTTAAATTTTAAATTCTGATAGTTTCGATACCCAGTCTGCCAACCAGAAGAAGAATCTGTTTGTGTTGCCGTGCAATCATGGAAAACGTGCACAGGCTTCACTTATGAGAGTTAGAAGTTCAGACTAGTTCAGCATAGCTGTCTCGTCTAAAACATGTCATTGACCCAGTCTCTTGAAAGAATCGGAATCAAGAATCACTTGGAACCTGAATCAAAATGTGAAATTGGACCCGGAACTGGAATTGTTCAAATTCAAACAATGCCCAACCTTATTTATAAAATACAAAAATGGCTGTGACTTCTTCAGTTTTATAGATATTGAGTTAAATTTGGTGCCATAGAAGGGGAGAGGCATGCACAACAAATAGTTTGAGTGTCAAAAAATTGCATAAAATCTTTCACAAGATGAAGATTGACTTAAACTCAGTAATTTACCCTGAGATGAACTTAATTTACACATTTTCCAAATAAATTGGTGGGCTATGTGCAGCCCTGCTTGGTATTCTTTCATTTACCTTGCAGATGATGAGTACTTAATCCATTCTGCTGTGTGACCACATAACTTTCAGCACATACCACCAGTTAACTGGGCAAAGTGCAAGGACGGGGGGTGTCACTTCTCAAATGGCAAACTGGCGCCTTGGTCCCCTCTGATGTAATGAATACCCGGCACCCAGAATCCCCTGTTTGGCCTTCCACATCATTCCACACCGATGCTCGGTGCACCAGCCCACTCAGGGCCAAGTCCAAACAACTGGAGCTCTTTGCAGAACGGAAATCTTTTGGGGTACACAACTCTTAAGTTAGGCTCTTGTTCTCTTACTTGTACGCTTCAGGAGTTTGATGTACCGCGTAAGATGCTGCTGAGTTTTGTATTTTTCTGGGACGAGTTTACATGAAGTGTGAGCTCATTGTCTTTGCAGGATAAGAAGGGTCTCCAGAGAGCTGACCTTTACCTCCCTTGCTTCCGGCATCACAACCGTCCAAACAGACACTATCTGACCCATCAGTCAGAAGCAAACAATGAACTTCTTTTGGTCTAGTTTTTATATCTTCAACAGGAAAAAAAGTCTCAAAAGGGACAGAGGAGACTATAGTTTTTGTAGTAAAGTTTGCAGGAGGAGGGACGACAGTGTAGAGAGACGGGTAAATGAAAAAAAGAGAAGAGGACAAGGATGTGGATTAATCTTCTGGGTGGGCTGGAAATCAAAGCACTTAGTGGAAAATAATAATAGAGTCTGTTAGATTGATGATCACCTCTGAGATAGAAGGAAGCAAGGAGGCTGAGGGAGAGGGAGCCAAACTAAAATAGCTTGTGAAAAAAAAAAACAAGTGACTCCTTTTCCTCTCCCCTGTATGGCAATAAAACATGATGCAATACCATAATAACCTGGAATAACTGTATTCTCATGTGGTCTTGATAGGAGAACCCAGTAAAAGACCTTCCTGAGAGCATCTGTGTTGCTGCCTTTGAGAAGGCTTCTTTCCCAAACGTACTTTCATGTGAATGATGAAGTGTTTGGGGAAACCCGCTCAGAGTTTTAGCCACACTTAGAGTGACGTGAGGCAACAGGTGGGGAGAAGGGGATGAGAAAAACGAGGGGACCCTGGCAGCCATGGAGGGACATGCTGCTAATTAGCCGGTTAGGGGTCAAAGGTTAGGCTGGTTGTGAAAAGTCACCATAAAGAGAGCAGTTCCAGATGTTTCTCACAGGGCAACAGAGAAGGACACCTTCCTGTCAGGATCTCTTATATCTGATATCATGAGCAAATGCAAGGCTCAGATGTTTGATAACTGAGTTGTAAATTCTAATTAGACGGCAATGTATGGCAATCAATTTGAGCATTTATTCAATATCCTTGACAACAGCATCGTTTTAGCTTGAATTCAGTTCTTTCACATCAGATTGTCAACACATGAAACACATCTAACTACAAGAGCAATCCAGATGTTGTCATTTCCAGGACGTCATCTGAGTCAGACAGTATCTCTTCCATCATGCAGCGGTTAGACTGTTGCACGTCTGTCTGGGACTTTTCTGCATGAAGTTTTCATGTTCTCCATGATAAAAGATAATGATAAATGACCTGCACTGCTATAGCGCTTTTCAGAGTCAGAGGACGCCAAAGCGCTTTACACTATAGTGTTGTTAGGATTAGGATTAGGGTTAGGGTTAGTGTGCAGTTTCATCCCGCAGTCCCAAAACATGCAATTAATTCAATTCAATTCAATTCAAGTTTATTTATATAGCGCCAAATCACGACAAGAGTCGTCTCAAGGCACTTCACATAATCAACATTCCAATCCAGGTCAGTTCATTAAGCCAATCAGAAATAATGTTTCCTATATAAGGAACCCAGCAGGTTGCATCGAGGCACTGACTTAGACTAATCTTAGCATTGCAAATGGGTCCAGAGTGGTTCAGAATCATTATTTGTGTCTATGTAGCTCTGTGACGGTCTGGTGAACTGTCTGCCTGACCTTGTCTTTCACCAAATGACTGTTGAAGATAGACACTAGCTCACCACAACTCTGTACAGGATCAAGAAGGTATAGAAAGAAGATAGGAGGACCATTAGCGTTGAATCCCGAGCGCCTAATGTTTAATGGAGCTGCAGTAAACCAAATAATGACAGGTATTTGCACAGAAATAAAGCCTCTTTCACACTGAAAGCATCAGCGGTGCAGAACGGCAGCAGAACTTCAAACTACTGCTGCTTCAAATAAAATCAATTACAGTTTATGGAGTGTTTCAAACGACATGGTAATTCTCAGCCGTGTCCCACTAGCGGCACGCTGCGCCATGCAGCTAGTGATAGGATCGAGTTTTATTTTTTCTGCGAGCTCCTTCTTAGACACGCCAATTTCCACAGTTGTCATAGCTCTTGACAGGAAATCACACAGTTTCAGTGTAAAACACCTGCTCATTTTCAAAATAAAAGTACTGCAGCGATGCAGTTTCATATATTATGTTGCTCATGTGTTAGCATACAACTTATTTACTATCAGTATTGTTCCAGAAGTGCAGCGGCGTGTTTTTCATGGCTCTTATCCTGGCAGTGGAGAGGAACAACATCATATATGACATCAAACAGTGATATCAAATGTGATTTCCTTCTTTTTGGCTTAATAGAGGATTGCATAAATAAACAGTGACCTTTGAAGTCTCGAGGGATTTTGTGATCTCGCGAGTCCAGGTAGGAGCACATCGAGGAGGCCGTTCTGAGGCCAAGACTCTCCTGGTGTGTAATGGACTGCATTGAAGCCATTCCGCACTGCTTGATGCTTCCAGTGTGAAACAGGGGTTAGCACTAAAAAACCGAAGAAGAAGAAATTAAGAATCATTCTGCTGCAAATTAAACCTACAATTGCTGAAGGGTTAGTGTTTTATTTCATTTGGTGCATCAGTTTTTGGGTTCAAGTATTGCAGCTATAAAGGTTCCCTTTTTCACGTAGGATGGATAGTTTATTCTTAAATAAGCAATAGTTAAACAACAAAGATCAGGCATTACTTTTATGAAATTTCATCTTTTTAGGAAGTTTTCTCAACACATCTTGGACTATCATGAAGGAAATAAGACAAGGAAAGCAAACAGGACATTTTATTGTTTAACTGATGAAAGCAAGAGAAACAGATTCTGAGAAGAAGCAAAACAGTTTATTCTCAAGACAAATATTTCACACGCAAAAATGAAAACGTGGAAAAAAACATAAGAAGTGGAAAAAAAATAGAGGAACTGATTACTTGGTAGCTGTAAAAACTGGAAGACTGGAGCTCTGGAGTCAGGCTTAGGGTGAGAAAAAACATCATCAATCTGTGTCCAAGCACTCCAGTTCCCTGTCCCTTATCACAGCTACTCCCCCAATACACACACTCACACACACACATGCACAAGCTGCTTTTCACCTCTCTTCAAATACTCTGAAAAATATGGGAAATCAAAGCAGAATAACTAGAGAGAGGTTGCAGGGAGTGGAGAAAGCCATGCAGGCCAAAAGGACAGGGCAGACAAACGCTGCAATGAGGGAGAAATATGAAATGGGAGTGAGAATGTAAAAGTCCTTTGATATTTGCTGACAGGAACATCCGGGAGGGAAGATGCTGCAAAACGAGACTGATTCTCTGTCCTAGAGTAGGTTAGTGACCTGGAAGTCTTGTCCTTAAAGTGGGAGGGACAGACGCTGTTGGTCCGTGGAATGAAAAGTACACTCGTCTGCACAGTGTGGAAAAAGTGCTGATTTCACTCAGAAGTGGAATTTGTGAACGTTTAAGTTCTTTTAAGTTCGATACATTTGGACCCGTTTACAGCAGTTA